TAACAAGAAGAAGAGAGAAGAAAGGATAGTAATAATTAAGTGTGATAATTTAAAGCAGAAAAAAAACTAATGATAAAGAGAATGAAAATAAAGGGAAAAGGAATTCGAATAGAGGATGATTTAACATGGAAAGAAAGGAAGATGAAATGGTTGTTAGAAGAGATAGCGGCAAAGGAGAGAGGGAAAGGAAGAAAGGTATGGAGTGGATACGGGAAGATACAGATAGAAGGAAAATGGTGGAAATGGGAGGAGGAGGAGGAAGTGTTAAAGAATAGAGAGGGGGGTGTAAGGAAGGAAGGGGGAAGGAGTAGTGGAGGAAAAACAGAAAGTGGGATAATAGAGGGAGTAAGGGAATATGAGAGGAGAGAAAGGGATGAAATAAAGGTAAGAGAAGGGGAGGAGAAAGGAAGGGGAGAAGGAGGAGAGAGAGAAAGTGAGAAGAGGAAATGGGGGATGTGGAAAGTAGCATTTTGGAATGTTGCGGGGTTAGGAAATAAGGATAAGGAATTTTGGAAAGGATTAGAAAAATGGGATGTGATAATGTTGATGGAGACATGGTTAGAGAAAAGAGGATGGGAAAGAGTGAAAGATAGATTGCCGAGGGGATACAAGTGGATAATGCAAATGGCAAAAAGGAGAAATAAGAAGGGAAGAGCGTGTGGAGGGATGTTACTAGGAATAAAGGAAGGTATAATAATGGAGGAGGAGGAAGTGAAGGAGGAGGAAGGGAGGATAAATTGTGTGATAAGAATGGGAGAGGAGAGGTGGAGAATAATAGGAATATATGTAAATGGGAACATGGAAAGTAAGCTGGAAGGATTAAAGGACTGGATGGATGGAAAGGAAGAGGGGGTAAGAGTATTAATAGGGGGGAATTTCAATGCAAGAACAGGTTAGGAAGGAGGGGGGAAGGATGTAGAAGAAGAAGAGAAGGAGGTTAATAGCAGGAAATCAAAGGATAAGAGAATAAATAAAGAAGGAAGAAGGCTGATAGAATTTATCGAAGAAAGAGGGTGGACGATAATTAATGAAAACACATGTGGGGATGAGGAGGAAGAATACACATATACCGGAGGTAAGGGAGAGACAGTTATAGATTCTATTATAGGAGAGGGAGAAGTGAGGGAGAGAATAGAAAGATTTGAAGTAGGGGATAAGGTGGATTCGGACTACCATCCGACAGTGGATAAAAGGAAATGTGGAAAGAAGGGGAGGAAAGAGAGAGAATAATAAAAGAGTAAGAAGAGGGATCTGGGATAAGAATGGAAGAAAAGAGTTTAAGGAGAGGTTGGGAAGAATAGAGGGAACAGAGGAGGGGGTTCAGGAAGAGATTATAAGGACAACGGAAAGAGTAAAAAAGATAATAGAAGAATGTGAAGAGGGAAAGGAGAATAGAAGGGGTAGCAAAAGAGGATGGTGGGACGAGAACTGTAGGGAAAAAAAGAGGGAGATAAGAAAAGTACTCAGAAAATGGAGAAAGGGGAAAGGAGGGGGAGAGGAATATAGAAAGGAAAAAAAGGAGTATAAAGAGATGTGTAAGGGAAAAAAGAAGAAGGAGGGGGAAAGGATGATGAGGGAGGTAAGACAGGCAAGAACAGAGGGAAAGATATGGAAGTTAATGAGGAGAGAAAGAAAAAGAAGGAGGGGAATCAACGAGGAGATAAAAATGGAAGAATGGAAAGAATACTTCATGAAATTAATGGGGGAGTGGAACAGAAGGTAGTGAGGGGAAAGAAAAGAAAGGAGGGAGAAGAGGAACAGGAGGGAGATATAAAATGGGATCAAATAAAAAGGGCGGTGGGGAAATTGAAAG